TGTTGATTTTTGCATCCAATAGTCCAAAATGATCGATTGACCCAAAAACAGTTTTCAGTCGACTAACTGTTAGCCATACCCTTTTTTAACTCACTTGAGCATATTGTGCTTGAGCGTTTTCTCATCGATCTGACTTGAGCATAGTTGAACAGTCGTTCTTTTCTATCTTCCATCTACGGGGGCACAACTTATGTTTCGTTTCGTAAAGAGTTGCATTTTACTAAAAAAAATGAAAGTTACTTATGCTTCAATCTCTTTCACCAAACCGTGTCACTAGATCACAGTCGACAGAGAGTTGGTTATGTCTAAGTCGATGCAATATTCATGAGATTTTGTGTAAAGATTTGCGGAATTTTTTAGTCTTTTTCCTCATGTTATGTCACTTAATTGAGACTTGGTTAAGTCTCAGTCGATCACACCCTTCATCAAACTATAGTTGTATGTTCTTAGACTTAATTTCCGCAACTTAATACACAAGCAGTTGTTCCATGCGTAGCTGACTGCTAGTGTGGTGAATCAGTGAATGTAAACTTTTTTTTTCTTTTTTCTAAGAAAAGGGGTGAGCGCCCATTCCATTGCCAGCAACGAAACAAGAGTGTCATAGTACAACCGCGTTCAGGATAGCACATACACTACACAGGACCCTCTTACCCCGTCTTTTTATATGTGAAGTAAGAATGTAAGAGTTTTCGCGAAAAAAATAATGTAAGAGTTAATCCGACCACTAATTAATGAGATCAATGCCTCAAATCTATTATATACTATTACTTCTCATATGAAAAGAGGGGGTAAGATGAGGCATGTTAAAATTGCTAGATAGACAATATGAAGCAAAAAAAAAAATCTCCAGCAGTTTGTCTATATGATACTCCCTCCGTCCGGAAATACTTGTCTTAAAAATGAATAAAATGGATGTATCTATAACTAAATTAAGTCTATATACAACAATTTCTAGGATAAGTATTTCCGGACAGATGGAGTACTCAAGAACTCCACATTGTCTAAATAGCGATGGACATTGTCAATATATGGAAGATCGGTAGGCATCGTCTAGATGTGAACTATGCAATAGACAATCTGATGAAGAGCGTTTTTGCTTCATTTGATCTATATTTTGTATACACAACTATTTTAATAGTTACTCCCTCCGTAAAGAAATATAAAAACGTTTAGATCACTAAGTGTAAGATAAAATGTATATATGAGATATAATATAGACAATTAGCTGAAAAACTGGTTATGTATATGAAGAAATTGTTTTAGACCATTTTTGTCTATATTGACATAAATATACACAAGCCGCTGGAGATGCTCTAACACTGTCATAGTGATTAATGCCAAGCTCAGGTGGTGTAGAGTTGCAGGTTACTCCATCGATTGTGTTAACGATATATATCATCCACTTGGGGCAGGGAAGTTGAAGCGCAAATCGACGGCAGCAACAGGGATGAATACAATCTGAACAGGTCGCGGTCGGTTTTGCTGTTGCTGGCCACGCTGACGGCGACGGTGACATACCAGGCAGGGCTGAACCCGCCAGGCGGCTACTGGCGCGATGAGGACTACAAGGATTACAGGTCAGGACATCCGGCGCTCCTCGACGTGCTGCCGAAGAGGTACAAGGCCTTCTTCCACTGCAACACGACGTCGTTCGTGGCGTCGCTGGTGGTGATCGTGGTGGTCCGAAGCAAGCAGCTCATATTGGGAGCCGTGGTCAAGCGTCACGTGCTGCAGGTGGCCATAATACTGAGCCAGTTGGGCCTGATGGGCGCGTACGCCAGCGGGAGCTCCCGAGACGTCTCCACCACCATCTGTATCTCCGCATTGGCCGTCGCCAATGTCGTGGTGTTCATCATTCTGGGCAGCGGCGGGAGCAAGCGGACGCTGTGGGTGGAGCGTACGGCCCACAAGGTTCTGAAGAAGCTGCACCTGTTGGGCGATGATGATGATGATGATTATGGGCAATGCCAACTGAATAGAGAGGATCAGGAGCGGAGCCTGGAGAAGAAGCGCAGGTCTCTGATTGTGCTGGCGATGCTCGCCGCCACCGTCACGTACCAAACCGGGCTGAACTCGGCCGGCGGGTTCTGGGAGATGGACTACGATTTCTCCTCCAAGAAGCTCTTCAGCGAGACGGTCCTCCTTGGCTACGACCGGAGCAGGTACCTGGTGTTCTTCTACTGCAACGCGGTGATGTTTATGGCCGCCGTCGCCGTCATCCTCTTCCTGGTGAACCAGCGGCTGCACGAGCAGAGCATACGGAGTAACGCGCTCCAGGCCTGCATCATGATTGGGTTCCTGGCTCTCAGGACTGCCTACGCCCTAGGGACCACCCACAAGGTGAGCACCTCTGTCTACGTCTTTGGCCTCGTGGCCGGCGTGATCACCTATCTTGTCCTGCAAATTCTACCGCTCCTGCTAAAGGACAGCGGCGGGCCGCCCAATGTGCCACAGCTTCCGTTCTGGATCCGGTGCCTATTCCAGCCGCTGTCGCTGAGGACCGGCTACCAGAGGGCCATGGTCTCGGACCAAGAAATGGACAAGCACACAAAGCGCAGGTGCCTGATGCTTCTCGGCGTTCTCACGGCGAGCATGACGTACCAGGCGGGCCTTGTGCCCCCTGGCGGCACCTGGGTCGACTCTAGGAGTGGCCACCGTGCCGGCGACCCCATCATGCGCAACGTCCACTTGCCACGGTACCAGGCCTTCTTCTACTGCAACGCCACGTCCTTCGCGGCGTCCGTCATTCTCATCGTCCTGCTAATGCACCGCACGGTGAGCCGGCGTGGCGCGCCGCTCAGGATGATGCAGGCTGCCATGGTGCTGGACCTCGCCGGCCTGCTGGGCGCGTGCGCGGCCGGCACCTGCTGGGTGTGGGAGCAGGTGTTCGCGTACGTGACAACGCTCGTTGCGGCCGTGGTCGTCTATGTCGCGTTGCACGTGCTGCTATGGCGTGGTAATACTGCGGATCCTGCACCTGCACCTCCGTCGACCACTCCGGCTTCCTCCCATCAGCCACTTGGCAACATTTATTAGCTGGTGTAGCTTGTTATAATGTGCGAACTTGTATGAGTGGATATACTGTACCCTGGGACTCCCGATGTGGCTTTCTACTCCTGATGTGATCTCCTATTTCTCTCTTGCGAACAAACATCTATTTAACGGTGTAATTTTGTAGGTTTACGTATATTTGGACATGTCCTATCTCCTAAGTACACTTTTTTTAAAGGTCTGTCTATATCTCATCTGAGATACTATCTCACATCTAAACTTTGATATCAACAGAAATCAGCGCATGTCCAGCTCACCATGTCGTTCTATTATTTGAACCGGCGCACCAGCCGACTTAACCGCGACAAACAAAATGACAACGCTCTACACGTACGTCCTATGAGCTCCTACCACTACAGCCACTAGCTACCCGTAAACAATTTAGATGACATTCTTGATTTTCTTATCTGCAAACCTAAACAATTTTGAAATATCGAATATGTTTTAAAACACAAACAATTTTTAAAATTCGAAAAGACTTTTTAAAATATGAATAAACTTTGTAATTTCGATCATTTTTTAAAAAATGAAAAAAAATTGTAGTCTAACAATTTCTTCACAAACAAAATTTGAAAATGTTACCAATTTTCAAAAATCACTAAACAGGTTTCAAAGTGTGGACACTTTTGAATATAATGAACATTTTATAATAACATGAATAAATTTAGTTCATTTTTATTTTAATCATAAAATTTCGATAAAACTATTTGTTGGTACCATTTAAAAAATATTGACATTTAAAAAAAGTCATGCATGTCAAAAGAATGTTTGTAATGTTAAAAAAAATCTATTATACAATGGAAAAAAAAGGTTTCATAACATTCAAAGAAATGTTCGTGACAATTTTTTAAAACAAACTTGATGCATTTAAAAATAATCACAAAAAATTTCTAGGAAATGTTTTTGCAACGTAAAAAAGTGCTTGTGTAATTATTTTTTTAAAAGATACCATTTAAAACGTGTTTAGCTTACCATGTATTCTAAAAATTGTTTGGGCCTGTATTTGAAAAAGTATTCCTCATGTATTTTTTTTAAAAGTTCAACACGTCTTATAAAATGTTTCTCATGTAAATAGAAAAATATACAATGTGTACTATAAAAATCGATACGTAGTTGAGTACTGGGTGTTGGGAAACGTAGCATGCAATTTTAAAAAAAATTCTATGGTCACGAAGATCTATCTAGGAGATGCATAGCAACGAGAAGGGGAGAGTGTGTCCACGTACCCTCGTAGACCGAAAGCTGAAGCATTTGACTACGTGGTTGATGTAGTCGAACTTCTTCTCGTTCTGACCGATCAAGCACCAAATGTACGACACCTCTAAGTTCTGCACACGTTCAGCTCGATGACGTCCCTCGAACTCTTGATCCAGCAAAGTGTCGAGGGAGAGTTTCGTTAGCACGACGGCGTGGTGACGGTGATGGTAAAGTGATCCACGCAGGGTTTTGCCTAAGCACTACGACAATATGACCAGAGGCATAAACTGTGGAGGGGGCGCCACACACGGCTAGGAATCAATGTTGTGTGTTCTAGTGGTGCCCCCCCCCTCACGTATATATAGGTTGGAGGGGAGGAGAGGCAGCCAAGGGGGCGCCCAAGTAGGAGGAATCCTACTTGGGCCCCTAGTCCAATTTGGCCTTCCCCCTTTCCTTTTACCGGAAGGGGGAAAAGGGAAGAGAGGGGTGAGGAAGGAAAGGGGGGCCCGAACCCCCACCTCCTTCTCCTATTCGGCCTCCTTCCTTGGAGGGGGGGGGGGCACCACCACTTGTGGGCTCGTGTGCTTCCCTCCTATGGCCCCATAAGGTCCATTATTCCCCCGAGTGGTTCTGGTAACCCCCCCGGTACTCTGATATGTACCCGATATGCCCCCAAACACTTCCGGTGTCCGAATATCATCGTCCTATAAATGAATCTTTACCTCTCGACCATTTCAAGACTCCTTGTCATGTCTGTGATCTCATCCGGGACTCCGAACAACATTCGGTCACCAAATCACATAACTCATATAATACAAAATCATCATCGAACGTTGAGCGTGCGGACCCTACGGGTTCGAGAACTATGTAGACATGACCGAGACACCTCTTCGGTCAATAACCAACAGCGGAAACTAGATGCTCAGATTGGTTCCCACATATTATACGAATATCTTTATCGGCCGTACCGTAATGACAACATACATTATTCCCTTTGTCATCGGTATGTTACTTGCCTGAGATTCGATCGTCGATATCTTCATACCTAGTTCAATATCGTTACCGGCAAGTCTCTTTATTTGTTCCGTCATACATCATGCCGTAACTAACTCATTAGTCACATTGCTTGCAAGGCATATCATGATGTGTATTACCAAGAGGGCCCTGAGATACCTCTCCGATACTTGGAGTAACAAATCCTAATCTCGATCGATGCCAACCCAACAAATACCTTTGGAGATACCTGTAGAGCAACTTTATAATCACCCAGTTATGTTGTGACGTTTGATAGCACACAAGGTATTCCTCCGGTATCTGGGAGTTGCACAATCTCATAGTCAAAGGAATATGTGTATGTCATGAAGAAAGCAATAGCAGTGAAACTTAACGATCATTATGCTAAGCTAACGGATGGGTCTTGTACATCACATCGTTCTCCTAATGATGTGATCCCGTTTATCAAATAACAACACATGTCTATGGCTAGGAAACTTAACCATCTTTGATTAACGAGCTAGTCTAGTAGAGGCTTACTAGGGACGCTGTGTTTTGTCTATGTATCCACACATGTATTAAGTTTCTGGTTAATACAATTCTAGCATGAATAATAAACATTTATCATGATATAAGGAAATATAAATAATAACTTTATTATTGCCTCTAGGGCATATTTCCTTCATTGGGTTGGGGAACGAGTTACATGTCGAGAATGGACATGCAACTATGTTGGGGAACGAGTTACGTGTCGAGAATCGGGTTCAACATGCATATGGGTCGGGTAGGTTGTGTGTTGGGGTTGGACATGCAACTATGATAGGGGTTGGAGCAAGTTGTGTGTTGGGGGTGGACGTGCTACCGGGTCGGGCGAGTTGCAAGTTAGTTTTGACATGCAACTAGATAGGAACGGGGAGCAACTTGGGTGTCGAGGATGGGCATGCAACTAGGTCGATGAGTCTGTGTGTTGCGTGTCGAGGATGTACATGCAAAATGTAAACATCTACTCGTCGCCGTTGTTGTTGCGTGGCGCACCTGTTGGTGCGATGCTAAAATATTCTCCGCACTGATGTAGCGTCCTCTCTCGGAAGGAAGGATCCATATTAGGGTCGGCGTCGACCAAGTCCTTGAACATTTCATAGTGTAACACCCCGGATGTAATTTACCTTATCTGTACTCCAACTCTTGCCGTTTCCGGCACTAAGTTATTTCATTTCGTCGTTGTCGGGTTTTTTTTTGTATCAGTGTGTTTTGTCTTTGTCATGCATCTCATATCATGTCATCATGTGCATTGCATTCGCATACGTGTACGTCTCATGCATCCGGGCATTTTCCCCGTTGTCCGTTTTGCATTCCGGCGCTCCTATGTCCTCCGGTGGTCCTTTCTACCTCTTTTTGTGTGTGGGGGTTAAACATTTCCAGATTGGACCGAGACTTGCCATGCGGCCTTGGATTACTACCGGTAGACCGCCTGTCAAGTTTCGTGCCATTTGGACTTTGTTTGATACTCCAACGGTTAACCGAGGGACCTAAAATGCCTCGTGTGTGTTACAGCCCAACACCTCTCCAAAGTGGCCCAAAGCCCACCAAAAACCCCTCCATCATCTAGAGTGTTCGATCACAATCGCGTGGCCTCAAACCGTGCTCAATTTGGAGCCTCCTAGCTCCTCCTACCTATAAAACTAGGTCTTCTCCGAAATTCCCGGGTCTCTTCTCCCCCTAACCCTAGCTTTCCACCTCGCGCGCCGCCGGACATGTCCGAAGCCGCGCCGGACAGATCCCCGCCGCCGGACAGATTCCTCATGTATTTTTTTTAAAAGTTCAACACGTCTTATAAAATGTTTCTCATGTAAATAGAAAAAAAATACAATGTGTACTATAAAAATCGATACGTAGTTGAGTACTGGGTGTTGGGAAACGTAGCATGCAATTTTTAAAAAATTTCTATGGTCACGAAGATCTATCTAGGAGATGCATAGCAACGAGAAGGGGAGAGTGTGTCCACGTACCCTCGTAGACCGAAAGCTGAAGCATTTGACTACGTGGTTGATGTAGTCGAACTTCTTCTCGTTCTGACCGATCAAGCACCAAATGTACGACACCTCTAAGTTCTGCACACGTTCAGCTCGATGACGTCCCTCGAACTCTTGATCCAGCAAAGTGTCGAGGGAGAGTTTCGTTAGCACGACGGCGTGGTGACGGTGATGGTAAAGTGATCCACGCAGGGTTTCGCCTAAGCACTACGACAATATGACCAGAGGCGTAAACTGTGGAGGGGGCGCCACACACGGCTAGGAATCAATGTTGTGTGTTCTAGTGGTGCCCCCCTCACGTATATATAGGTTGGAGGGGAGGAGAGGCAGCCAAGGGGGCGCCCAAGTAGGAGGAATCCTACTTGGGCCTCTAGTCCAATTTGGCCTTCCCCCTTTCCTTTTACCGGAAGGGGGAAAAGGGAAGAGAGGGGTGAGGAAGGAAAGGGGGCCCCGAACCCCCACCTCCTTCTCCTATTCGGCCTCCTTCCTTGGAGGGGGAGGGGCACCACCACTTGTGGGCTCGTGTGCTTCCCTCCTATGGCCCCATAAGGTCCATTATTCCCCCGAGTGGTTCTGGTAACCCCCCGGTACTCTGATATGTACCCGATATGCCCCCAAACACTTCCGTGTCCGAATATCATCGTCCTATATATGAATCTTTACCTCTCGACCATTTCGAGACTCCTTGTCATGTCCGTGATCTCATCCGGGACTTCGAACAACATTCGGTCACCAAATCACATAACTCATATAATACAAAAT